CGCATTTGCTGTCAGAGGTGSGAACGGGAACAGGAACGGGAATGGAAYGGGAACGGGGGGTCCGCCGGTGCCGGGATGCCGGGAGGGGCTGTGAGAGCTGCTTTCCTCCCCCGGGGATCTCCTCCTCGGGATCGCCCTCCCTCGGGACCGCTCCCACAGATTGCCGTCTTCCCGGGATGTCTCACCAGCCCCCGGGACGATTCTCCTCCCGGGATCAACCTCCTCCGGGATCGTCTCCCCTGGTGATGGTCCTCCCCGGGGATCGCCCCCTCGGGATCGTCGGTCCCCTCGGGATCTCGCCTCCTCCCCGCCCCGAGACCGAAGTCCCCTGGATCCCCCGGGCTCCCCCTGCCCCGGGCTCGCCCCGTTCCAGGTTCCCGGTTCCCGGTTCCCGTTCCCAGCTCCCGTTCCCGTTCCCGGTTCCCGGCGCGGCCACCAGGTGGAGCTGTGGGCACGCGGCGCGGCCGCCCCGGCACCGCCCMCCCCGGGGGTCTCGGTTCCATCGCGGGGGCACCGGGGGGACCCATCCCGATCCCCGAAACCCGCCCCGATCCCCAAAACCCGCCCCGATCCCCCGGAACTCATCCCGACCCCCGGAACTCATCCCGATCCCCGGGACCCATCCCGATCCCCGGGACCCATCCCGACCCCCGGAACCCGTCCCGTTCCCCCCTCCCCGACTCCCGGGGGTGCAGTTGTGGTTCCCTTCCCTCTCCCGCTCCGTGCTCGCCCCGATGTAATCCCGCAGCGCTGCTCGCCCCCCGCTGCCGGGGGTTGCCATGAGGGGCTCCTGTCCCGGGTAGTAATGGGGCAGTTGATATTGGGGGGCCTCATCCTCCCGTCCTCCCTCTGAGGAGTTCTCTCGGCCGGATCCTCCTTGTTCCCTGACATCCCCCGCCCCATGCATCCCCAAGGRTTCCCCCTTTCCCCGGCCCTTGAAGCAAACTCTCTGCTCGGCACTCGCTGCTTCCCACCCGCAGGACTGAACCCCGAGCTGGGGGAGAGCCCCGATACCGCATCAGAGCCGGGGGCCAGCCGGGAGTACCCCAAGGGAGGCGGGAGGGGGAAAGATCCCAAATGAAACCTCTCCATCGGGGTCTCCTGCTGCGTTTAACGGTGGCTGGAGTGAAAGTGGGGTGCTGTCACCATCGCTGTGCACCGATCCTCTGCTGCTCCCAGAGGAATCCAGGCTCTACCCTCCTGAACAGGACAGGCAGAGTATTTTATCCCAGTTCCCAGTTCTCTGTGGCTTTTTCTTCTTGTCCCCAGGAGCTGGGCAGGTAGGAGGAACACCGCAAGTAGCTGAACAGTATCATCACCTGCCAAGGCAGGCACTGGGTTTATCTGCAGCTGGAAAGTCTTTGGATGAACACAGGAGCCTGCTGGCCGTGAGGAAAATACAAGAAGCATTTTCATTGGGCAGGATAAGGGTGAACTGTTCCCAAACCCTCAGAAAAGTGCAGGTATGAGCTCAACACCTGAGTGCTCTGCTTTCACTCCCACTTGAGAGGAGAGGCAGCTTTTCCTTTCCCCCATTGTCGCGGGTCTGTTGTTCCGAGGGCAGGAAGGAGCGCTGTCCCTTTGGGGGATGCCTCATCCAGCTGCAAAGGTCGGGCATGAGAGAGCAGAAGGCTTTTCTCTCAGAAATCCCCATTTCCAGCTACTTCTTCCCTCCCTTGGGGTCTGGGCAGAGGGAAGTGAGGCCTGACTGTCCCCCCCTGTGCCGGGAGCCCCAGGGCAAGAGAGGAGGGGCTGGAGACAGGAGGAGGGAGTTGTCCTGGATCAACTCCAGGTCAGAGGGGAGAGGGGCCTTGGGCCCACTTGGAAATGGCATCAAGGCAGGGGAGAGGCCTTTCCCAATGTAAGAGAGATCCTGTGCTCTGGGACCTCTGTCTCCTGCCTCACAGAGGTTGTGTTTGTCCCCCTCAATCCCCGGGACCCCTGCTTTTTCCTGCATAGGATGAGCAAGCCAGGGCCAGCTTTTCCTCCTGTGCTTCCATCGCTGCTATCTGCCATGGCCAGGGACGCTGTGACCGTGTCCCAGTCCTGTCTGTGAGCTGCTCTTGCCTGTGCTGCAGTCTCAGCTCRTGGCTTTGTGTTGCTGGGCAAAATCCACGGCTCAGCTTTGGGAGCTTCCTCACCCCTGGGAGCACATCACAGCCTGCATGTCCGTGTGTGTTTTATCTTGAACGTTGAATGTTGGGAGCATTTAACTGGGGCTTGCAGGGAAACCTCACTGCAATGTGCTCCAGTTGGTTTCTGCAGCAGAAGGGTGAAACGCTGGGACTCAGCATGAAGGGTTCCCCCTGGCAGGCTGTGGAGTGTCCTCCAGCTCTGTTTGCTGTGCTCAGGAAAGGATGGACACAGCTTTGACCAGGAATATGCTCCTCATAATGGGCCTGGAGTGATCCGTGTGCTGCTGCACTTGGAGTGGGGTGGTGCTGGTCCAGAGAGGGGACCCAGGCAGAGGGCAGAAAGGGAAAGCTAAAGGCAGCTGGGAATTCTTTCAAATCAAAGCTCCAGTACTCCAGAGTTGGCCTCTGTGGGGTGGATGGAGCACAGAAGTCTCCCTGCCTGCTGCCAGTGTTTTCCTTTTTTTCACCCTCCTCTTTTTTTTTTTTTTTTTTTTTTTTTTTTTTTTTTTTTTTTTTTTTTTTTTTTTTTTTTTTTTTTTTTTGAAAGTCCTGGCTTTCTCACCCCCTCCCTGTTTCCCTTCTGCTTTTCTTTCACACTCCTCCTGTGGGGGTCGAGCCAGTGTTTAACTCTTTCATCCTTATTATTCAGTGACTGTGAGACTGTCCCTAAGCCCCAGGTGGGGCATCTCCCCCAGCCCTCAGCCAGAGCCTCCTGGAGTTCCCTGTGTGTGGGGCACAGCGACACAAGTCTTATATAAAAGAGAAAAACAGTGAAAAACTTGTCACTGTTACTGTGGTTGCTGGCTGTCCCTGCCCGGTGGAGGTGCCCTCAGACTGCTGCTGGGATGCTGCTCCCTYCAACATCCTGGAAAAGGCATGGAAACGGTCCCCTGATCCCCTGAACAGATTTGAAGGGCGAAATCTGCCAACTGCTCGGTATATTGATTCAAATGCATTATTCCTCCCCGGGCAGATCCCTGCCCAGAGAAAGGAGCAATCAGTGCAGGTGCAAACAGCTTTTAATTGCAGAATGTATCTCACCATGGAGGCATTTAGGCTGGATATGATACAAGMGATACAGCAGCAGCCGGAGGAAGCCCAATAAGCCGGAGCGCTGCAGGAGCCAAAATGCTCCTATGCCGTACCTATGGCGTAAATATTCATTTGTGGCTGTGTGTCCGTGTTCTTTCACATCTCCCTGACATATGACACAGTAGCATCATGTCAAGATTCAAATGGCATCTTCAGGGAATGTGGGAACTTGCTGTCTGTGACAGTTGCTGTGTGAGGACGCAGAGCACAGGGGATGTGGATGTTTTGTGTGTGGACCCGCCTAAAGCCAAGGATCGGGCGCAGYTTCTCAGCGAGGCGCTGGCAGCGGGCTCTGTGCCTGCTTTGGAGTCAGAGCTCTCTTYCCGAGGCTCAGCTGCGGGTTCAGGCGGCTGTGCCACACAGAATAATGTGCAGGTGGCCGGGAGAGGGTCCTGTACAGTTTGGGACTGCCGTGGGTGCCTCCGGGGCTGTACAGAGGTGCTGACAGACTGGACTGGCCTCTCTCCGGGCCCTCAGCTGGGCTCCCGGCTGGGGGATGCAGCCCGGTGGGCTCCGCTGCCCTTCGCGGGGCTCTGCATCCCTGGAAGGAGCGGACAGGAGCCGCCCGACCCTCCATCCCCCGGGGCAGCATCTCCCGCACCTCTGATCGGGGAGCGGCGGGATAAAGGGACACGGCAGCAATTCAGAAATAACCCAGACACTTCAGAGGTTCCCTCCCCAAAGCCTCCGCCGTGYGACATCGCCGTGGAGAGGGCGAGTAGCCCGGCTTGCCGAGATGCGCAGGGTTTTGTTCCATTAAATGTGCAAAGATGGGCAAGCCGGTGTTTGGGGAGGCATAACCCACCCGGCCGGCACAGAGAGCTCCTGCCGCGGCAAGAGCCCGGCAAGAGGCGAGGCGGGAGCGGCTCGGCCACGGAGCGATTTGGGCAGGGGAAGGATGGAGGGTGTTGCGGGGACAGCGGCGGGTCGGGGAGCCCGCAGAGAGGTGCGGGACTGCACCCGCTCCGCCGCCGCGCAACCAGCCCGGCTCTTCCCTAGAGAGGACAGGAATTGTTTTTATTATTATTATTATTATTATTTTCCCTGGGAAAACAAAAATCGGACTTCCTAGGGGAAAAAGAAGAAAAAAGGAACTTTCACCGCGAACTGTCCTGTTCGGAAATCACGAGCTTGTGCCGCAAAGCAGAGCACCGCTGCTGAGGAGCGGGGCAGGAGCYGGGGCGAGCGGCGGGGATCAGCGGGGTTTGCGGAGCGGAGTCGCCCCACACAGTGGCGTGTCCAGCGGGGGACAATCCCGGGCTCGGATACCGGGCAGGGCGGGCCAGCGGGGCATCCCCGGCTTCGGGCAGTCCGGGCGGGCAGCCTGGCGCTGTTGGGGCATCCCCGGGGAAGCGGGGAGGGCTCTGCCACCCTGCACTTAGCGGTACCGGCTGCGGGCTGTGCGGGCTGTGCGGGCTGTGCGGGCTGTGCGGGAGCGCGGTGCCCTCCTGGTCAGGGCCAGCCCCGTGCGGCGGGGGTCGGTGAGGGGAGCGGGGGAACCCCTCCGGGGCTGGTGCCCGTGTCCCCCCCGGTGATCCCGGGCAGCTCCGCCGAACAAAGGCGCGGCCGCGCTGCGCCGGTCCCGCCCCGGGCGCTCCGGGGCAACTTTCCCCCGGGCCGGCCGCTCCGGGGGCGGGGCTATGCTAACGAGGTCTGTGACCCCGCCCCCTCGGCCGCTCTTCGCGGGCGCTCATTGGCGGCGGCGGCGCGGGGGCGGGGCGGTGACGCGATGCAAATGAGGGGGCGTGTCCGCGGCGGCCCCGCCCCCCGCCCGCCGGGGCTGCGGGGCTCGTGTTCGGCGGCGGGGACAGTCAAAGTGGCTCCCATAGGGAGAGACGGCGAGTCCGCCCGGCGCTGCGGGAGAGGGAGGGGGCACGGGGAGCCCCAGGGTCTCCCTCCGGCCGTCCGTCCGCGCCGCCGCCGCGGGTGCGCCCCTCTCGCTCCCTTCCCGGCGTGCGCCCGGCTCCGGCAACTCGCTTCCTGCGCGGCTGGAGGAGGGAGGAGAGAGGAGAGGAGCGGAGAGCGCTTCGGCTGGGAGAGGAGAGAAGAAAGAGGGAGAAAAGAAAGAAAGAAAAGAGAGAGGGGAGAAAGGGGGGGGACTTGCCTCTCTTGTCACTGGAAAATGACACTTGATGTAGCAGAGCCTGCCGCAGCTCCCGTTCGTCCTATTGTTTCTTAAACTGCCATCTGAGATTTTTTTTTTTTTTTTTTTTTTTGCCTGCTGCCATCCGAGGGGTGTCTTCATACAAAAGGGACTTCAAGTACTCCTCCGGCTTGCGAGCGCTGCAACCAGCCCCCAGCACCCCGCCAGCCCCTCCAAGCACCCAAACAAACTGCACACGCAGCAAACAGCAGCAACAAAACCGGGCTCTGATTGCCTCTGGATTTTTTTTTTTTTAATGTGCGTGCCTGTGTTTGCTTTCTCCGACTTGCTTTGATTCCAGCGATCAGCTGCAGAGAGAGAGAAAAAAAAGAGAGAAAGAAAGAAAAACCCCACATATAACAGTCCGCCTGGCGATTTTATCACTTTTTAAAATTTTGAATAAAGAAGGAAGATTTGCGCTGTTGTTTCTGATTCATGTTTGGGATTCAGGAAAGCATCCAGCGGAGTGGGAGCAGCATGAAGGAAGAGCCCCTCGGCGCGGGGATGAACGCGGTGCGGACGTGGATGCAGGGAGCCGGCGTCCTGGACGCCAGCACGGCCGCTCAGAGGTAGGCAGGCTCCGCGCCCGCTCCGCGCCCGCGCCCCGCTCCGCGCCCCGGGGCGCTCCCCGCCCGCAGCGCTGCTCCCCGCCGGCAGCGCCTTTCCCCCCCGCGCCAACAAAAACCCGGCTCTGGAGCTCTGCTACCGGCAGTGAGTTTCGCGTAGATGCCGCCAGTTAAATATTTATCCCTATTGTCCCGTAGGAATGACTTTTTATTAAATAATGATAACAATAAAGGAAGTGGCGAGTTTCGCTAGGTACGGATAGGTAGGGTTCATCTCTCTGGCTTCTTCCTTGTGTTCGCTCGGAGGAAGGAGTTTTCAAAACTATGTTTGCTGCTGATTTAGTCTTAAGATMTTCTAATGACAATTTCCTCCTCCGAAAAGCAGCGAGTTGTGCAAGGATGTATCCAAAATATATTTCTCTACCTCGCTTTCTTATTCTCTTCAAAATCAGCAGCTCCCCTTCTTCTCCTCCGATCAGTAGGGAGTTTGCAAAGCGTACTCCGGGAGAAATTTAATTTGAAGTCCCTTTGTAAAACTACTGCCACTTATCTTAGATTAAAAAAATATCCCCTATAAATGGGAGATGGATTTGGTGAAGCTACGCCCAGCCTCGCTTTCTCTCTTATTTCTCCTTCTTCCCATCCTCTTCCCTTCGGAAAAAAAAACCCCAAACACGAACCAAACCCTGATGCTGGATGATTCGCAGCTTGAGCTCTGGAGCCGGCATCATCCAGCATCAGTTTAATGTTGACATCTCCCGGTGTCTCCCACCTCGCCCCGCACCCCTCCCTTTGGAGCCCTCTAAGGAAGGGAAAGTTTCTGCAGGGACAACCCTGAAATATTTCAAGTTGTCTCCTGGGCTCGGTGTTTAGCCACCGCTCCGGCGCGGGAGGAAAGGCTCCCAGGATTGAGGCTGCAAGATAAGGACATGGGCGCTGGGGTGACAGCTCCGAGCCGAGTTTGAGAAGTGGCAGGACCGATGCTGCTCCGCGGGGCAACGCGCCGGCGGGACTGAGCGCGGCTTCCCCGCCATGCAGGGCCGGCTGCGAGCKGGCACGGCCCCCGGGGAGGGCTGGTGGGTACCGGAGCGGGGCTGGGGGGGCTGCTGGGGGCTTCGGGCTCGCCGCAGGACGGGATGGGGTCGGGGCTCCGCGGGGTTCGGAGCTCGAGTCTTTCTCCGTGCCCGGAGGAAAAGCCCCGGGGCGACCCGGGGGAGGGAGGGATGCTCTGGTCCGGGGGGGCCCAGCCGGGGCCCGGCGGGGGAAAGCACGGGCCCGGGAGGCGGCTGGGGGAACGTGAGGCCGCGTCGCCGGRGCTGCCGCTAACCCGCGTGTCTCTGGTCCCAGCGGAGTGGGTCTGGCCCGGGCTCACTTCGAGAAGCAGCCGCCTTCCAACCTGAGGAAGTCCAACTTTTTCCACTTCGTCCTGGCTCTGTACGACCGGCAGGGGCAGCCCGTGGAGATCGAGCGCACCGCCTTCGTGGGCTTCGTGGAGAARGAGAAGGTGAGTACCCTGGAGCCCCGCGGGGGCTCGGCTGCCTCTCCGGGGCCCTCCCCGCTCCGCTCCCCCGGGGGCCGTGACACCGACTGGTCCCGGGAGCCACGGGCGCCTCAGTCTTACCCTGTCCCGGAGGGCACACGGGGAGGGGATGTCCCCTGATCCCTCGCAATGCTCGTGGCACGGGAGAATGCTGAGAGCTGTCCCATCGAACCCCGGGGACACCCGGCGTGCGAGTGATGGAGAAGCTTCATTGATACCGTTTTCCTTTCCCCTTCGGCCTCCCGTGTCCTCTTTGACTTCAGGAAGCCAACAGCGAAAAGACCAACAACGGGATCCACTACCGCCTGCAGCTGCTCTACAGCAATGGTAAGGGCTGGGAGCCCCCGGTGGCAGCCCCATCGCCCCCCGCCGCCTCGGCGGCTGCAGAGCCCGGCAGCGCCCGGGGAGCCGCAGCCCCGGTTCCCCCGCTCCCTGCGCTCGGTGCCGGGGCGCTGCCGGGACATTGGCGGCCCCGGCAGGCCCGAGCCCTCGGGCGAYCCCCGGCTCTCTGCCCCCGCTCCTCACGCCTCTGCCTTGTTTCAGGGATCAGGACGGAGCAGGATTTCTACGTCCGACTCATCGACTCCATGACCAAGCAGGTGGGTGCTGCGGGGCGGCCGCCGAGCAGGGGGGTGGCAGCCGTCGGGGCGGCCCCGGGAGGCCAAACCCGCCCCCGCTGTGCCCGGCGGGGAAGGGACGGAGCCACCGCCTCCCCGGGGCACGGCCGCGCTCCCCGCTCCGGGCACCGACCGGGCTGCAACTGGTGCGGAGGGTCCCCGCGGGACCCTGCCTGCTGCCGGGCTGCGGGAGAAAAATACTGGAGACCCTCTAGCCGTCCTAGTCAGGGCTGCGGATGGTTTTGCCGCTTAATTAATAAGAATTAACCTCCGGCCTCGGCAGCCCCCGAGCACCGCCAGCACAAGGCGCTGCCCCGGTGCGGGGCTCTGTCGGTCCGTTCTCTCTTCCCGCTGCCGCCGCTCCGCTGGTAAAGGAGGGGCGCTTGTATCGTGACACGTTTGCATGTCGGAATAGCCCCCAGAATCGCGGCGCGGSCAGCGGCCAGCTCGGTGTTGGACTCAGGGAGGGCGGCAGGGCTTGTCAGTGGATTAATCCTCATTTTAARGTTGTTCTTTAGCCTCCCAAACAGAGTAATAACGTGCGTGCCTACATGTAAAAAATACTTTTCTGTTTAAAACCAGTATTTTTACAAAGGGACTATCTGAACAAATTGATTTTCTCTCCTTTCTTTTTTTTTTTTTCTTTTCCTTTTTTAAAAATTGTTACTCTGGCTTTTTTTTCTGCTTCTGCCAGAATATTTTTCTCTTAGAATACGTTTCTTTTAAATAGTTGGGATCGCTTTTAAGTCTTTCCATCCTTAAAATATGTTTCTTCCCTTCCTAATCTGTTTTACTTGTTAAAGAAAATTCTTAAATTTTATTTAAGAAAAACATTAAGGGTTTTTTTTTTTTTTGTACTGCTAGGAAATGTCAGTCCCTGTATGTTGTCTGCAGGGACAAAACTCTTGGCTTGTATTTGGGTTTCTTTTCTACAGCAAAACATAAAGCTCTAAGGGCTGAGTTTGTTTTACAAAACTCTCTTTGATGGTCTCAAAACATCTTTTCCTGCTATTGAAGACTGTCTTTCAGCAGGAAAAAAAAAAAAAAAAGAAAAAAAAAAGAAAAAAGGAACTTGGATGAATTTTATTAGACAATCCAATGTGCATCTGAACTCTGTTACACTGTACACTTCCAAACAGAGCCCATTCCCTGTAGGAATTAAAACAGCAACAACATATCCTTCTTCATAAAAAATCCTGGAAAGCGTTTGCTRTCATTCCCTGTTTTTCAGGCACAAATTGGTTAGTTTGTGTTAAAAGTAACAAAATCTTCCTGATGTATGAACTCTTTTTAGTCCTTTTGGAGCTTGTGTGTTTCAGTGTAGATCGTGTGAGAGAGACTATCAATAAATATTATCTTTAAATAGCTTTCCTATCGTTACGGAAATGCAGAAGCCTCTGCTCATAATCCTGTTGAAAACAGAGCCCTGAACTCATGGAGAGCAGTGGATTCAAAATAATTTTCTTAACAAAGGCATCTTGCATATGAAGAGTTCATCCTAAGGCACTGTTTGACCTCTTGGTCTCTCATTATTATCAAGTCATCAGAGGGTCTTTGGAGAGAAAGGGGGAAAAAAAACCCCGAGATACAGTTTATTTGTAAAAACCTACCGTGTAGCTTTAAAGCACGCTCACAATGAAGAAGGAGGGGGAAAAAAAAGCTGTCTGATTTCAGGAAGTCTTAGAAAAACAAAGTTAGTGCAAATTACAGATTTTGGGAAAAGTGCAGTGGGGTTGAGGAGCGAGGATTTGAGAACAAAAGCTCTCTGAGCTTAGAATAGAAAATGGGGAGCGAAAGGCTGTTTTAGACGTTAACATGTTTGCTTACATATTAAGTTCATGTCTGTAGTTTCTTTAGGCATAACTATAATTGCTTATGAAAAACAGGGCATTGTCACGTCAAAATTGTGGCATGTGCTGCTCTGAATTTTTTGGGGGACCAGACGCTAAATTCTCCCTCTTCTCCTTTTTTAATTCTTTCTTTTCAAAAGTGAAATTATTTCAGAGTTGGGATCGCGTCGGTTACTGAATGCTTATTAGGAAGTGAAGTACAACACATGACAGAAGCTCACCCAAATGTTGAATATATCATTTATATTTTATGACAGTGAATTATATAGAAGATTCTCAAGTAACTTTCAAATCATCAAACTGTAATTAAATATTGCAAAGACTGTCTGAAAATTCTTTAATTTTTAATGAAAGTTAAATATATATTGTCAGTCTACTTGAAGGTGTAGTATTTTAATGCATGACGCTCAGAACAAATTGGATAATGAAATGATTACTTTTAAATGAAACTGTTGCAGAAGCGTACACGTTTCAGCTGGCAAGTATCTGCTCAGTCCTCACACAYGCACATTCACACACTCGATAATTGTGAATTCCCAGACCGAAATTACAGCTACTCTGAGGTTTCTGGTGGCAAATTAAAAATCCCACAGAAGCAAAGCTTGAATGAGTTAGGTTCCCCAGATCATACAGGAAAGTATCTGTGGCTTTTTTTTCTTTTTAATATTATTCTTTAAATTATTTTTTAATATGGACACATCAKATTTAAATATATTCCCTTTGTCTCGCAGTTACAAATTGCAAGGTTTTGTACGGTTGTGGATTATTAAGTTAGGTAAGATAAAATAAAAGCCCTTCTGCAAATCAGACCTAGATTTCTGTACATCGGACTGCTGCTCAGAGATTTAACGTGGATGTCCCACTAGCAGCATGTGTTTTACCAGGAGGTAGGCAGGGCTTGGCTGCGCTGGGGGCTGTGTATGTACTAAAGAGGAGATGTTCCTGCTCTGCCTAAATCCAGGATTTATTCGARTGGCTGTGCCCAGCTAAGAAACTCYTAGCCAGAGTGCTGTCCTGGGTGGAGCAGAGGGATCTTCGTGTCCTGGTGCGTGTGTTTCTCTGCCAGCTGGGGACCAGGATGGGAAGTGGGGCTGGAGACTGACACCACTGAAGCAACCAGGAGTTTTGTAGTGAGCTGCATCTCAGGGCAGATCTGGGCTGTGGGATGAGCTGTGCACGCACTGCCCCAAACAGGAGCTTGGGCTGCACCAGCGCTCYTTGGGAGCCTGGGCTGGGGGACTTCCAGATGGAAACCCAGCCCGTTCCGCTCTCAGAGTGCATCATTCGGAGTCGTATTTGGGATATTGCACTTGGCCCTTGGTGCTGGCCCCACAGAAGCGCTGAGTAAAATGGGAATTACGTGGTTTTCGGGGGTCTCGCTAAGTTTCCCAAATGCGTTCCCATCGCTTAAAAATTATAAATACTACGCACAAACYATTCCTGTGGCAGGGAAGTTCTTTTCAGTTCGGGTAACAGCACTCGGCGTCAATACTGGCTTAATTAAATTTTCTTTTATGTTATATTGGCACCTCATTTTATGTCAGGATCACATTCCTAATGCGCTCRAAACCCTGTAGGATCCCAAACTTTATAGCTGTTGCTTTCCGTAAAGCAGCAGCTCCTCCCGCAGAAGATCTGGCTCTAGCAGTGATGCATTTTGAAATTGCCTGCAAAATGTGAAATATGTCTGCTCTAATAAAACTGGAGTTTTTAGGCAAGTCAGAGGATTTTAATATGTTTAYGGAGAGGAGATGCCTTCTATTTCTTTGGCTGTATTTTCATAAAGTTGAGATATTTCACTATTAGGAAAGATGGAGGAAATAAATCTGAAATACTTGTTCCCCACCCATTTTTCCTTCAGCCTTTCTCATCCATGAGGCATAACGGATGCTAATATGGCTCAGGCATCTTAAAAATCATAAGTTTTGCTTGATGACTATTGTCTATTGCTGAGAGCCCTCATGAGTCAAAAATCCTTCCTTCAGTCTTAAACCCTGTTTATGTCTTGCTTTTTTTTTTTTTTTTTTTTTTTTTTTCAGAGCTATAACTCTGGATGCAAATGGTTTTTCTGTTGACTTGTCTGTCATTCTCTGGTGTCTGCAGATATTTGATCAGCTCTATTCTGTGCTCTATTCAGCATGGCCCTTCTCTGGCAGCTACACGCATGGGAAAAAAAAATGTTATCAATAAGTTCAGAGGAGCCTCAGCAGACTCRGAGAAATTTCACACAAACATAAAACAAAACCTAACCCCTGTGACRGGGAAAGTTTACATTGCGCCAGATTTTAGCAGCTTTCTTGTGCCTTTGGTGAGATGTCAGAAGCGCAGGTGATTTTAATTTTCTTGTACAGAGAGGAATGGAGAAGTTTGGAATTTGCATGCATGATCAGGACCTGTGTTTGGGAAAATGTAAACTCATCACAGTGGAAAATGTGTTGTTTGGAGTCTGAGGGTGAAAACAAAGCTGAGGATTTTGGAGAGACTGCCTGAGCCAGATGGCCTGGTGCATTCCCAGTCTGGCAGCCCAACTGCTCCCTCCTGTATAATATACAGCCATTTGTTCTGGGATATTTACGCTAGAGCTGTTTCCATGTGAATGTTTGAAAACCATTAAAAATGAACATATTAGGAGAGATAAATTTATTTAATTTGTGTGAATACGTCGATAAGCAGGCTGTGAATCAAAGGCAGAGGGAGACTGGATAAAATAATCAGATGCTTCTGAATTGTGCGTTAAGAGGCAGAGTAAGAACTCCCCGTCCTCGCCCCGGGACCAGCTCCACGCTGCTTGTCCGGGATAAACCACCCTGGGATGAGTCGAGGTTTTGCCTGGGGAAGGGGTAAAGCCTCGGGTAATTGAGGGTTAAGGATTCAAAGCCAAATAAATGTAATTCACAGTWTTTTCTCTGTAGATATATAGTGGATACAAGCCTAATCCTCTCTGGGTGAAATTCTGGCCCATCTGAAGTCAATTGCAAAGCGCCTATTGAATTCGGTGGGGCCAGGATTTTATTTTCTCCCTGTGTGTACGGCTGTAAACGTCATTCCAAATCATTTTAGTTCTGTTTTGGAAAAGACCCTAATTTTAATGAGTRTTCCCTTCTCTTTTATTCCTGTAAGGGAGATACTTTGTTTTGTGAGGCACACGGAATCTGAAAGCAAGTGGATTTAGATGCACGTTGGTGATTTCTCTCCTTCTCTTACTCTTTTAAAATCAAGGCCATGACATAACTGAGTAATATAATGACCATGATCTCATTCCTTCAAGATTGTTTTTCGTCCAGTTCTGAAAGCAGGATTGCTTGACTGGCAAACTGACACCAYGAGACGATTCTGCCCTCACTTGTACCAGCATAAATCTGGATTTATTCGGGAATGGTTAAGGACAAAATCTGTCTCTGTATTTTTTCGATCTTATTTGTCAACTCTTTTATTGCTTTATCCTACCGCATCTATTGGGGAAAAAGTGGATTAAATGAGAACTGTAGCCTTGACTTTTATATTACCTCCCTTCCTTTTTATATTTTTATTTTAATTTTTTTTTCTTTTTAATAACGAAGTCTGTCGTTGGAAAGTTGAGGTGAATTTTTGGGCGTACTTGACTGCGATGTGCTGAATTTAGTAATTTTTATTTGCTGTTAAGCAGTGAATTGAATTTGATTTAACTTTTTATGCAGCTTTATTTAAATGGAAGTGAGGAAGTTTTACATTTTTGACGCTAATTTTTCGGGGCCTGGTTTTGAAGTCCGTTTGTGCATGAGTGATTGTTACTTCTTGTAGTAGTGATTGGGATTTCTTGTAGAAAGGTTACTTGGGTGAGTAACAGCTGGCAAAATGGAAGTTAAATTTTGTGGAGAGATGTTTGAGTTGTTCAGGAGGAGAAACGCTATTTTCAAGTGCTTATGAAACACCACCGAGTTAAAGCGACAAGAAGTAAACAAAAAGAAAAAAAACCTAAGTCTATAATTTTGCATTTCCTTTGCYGGTGTTTTGTTGTGCAACTCTGATGTGTATCTGCAGACTTATTTTTAGCTCTGCTGTGGTCTAAGTTATGCACTGTAACTTTCACTTTGTCTCTCATTAATGTGATCCCTATTTGACAAAATCACGGCAACGTTAGTATGACAGGGAACTCCGACGCAATCGCCCCGTTTCAAAGTGTGAACTTAAAACTGCCATTATTTATTAAAAAAAAATGAAGATATTTTTGTTAAAAAATAGTAGCTTTTCAAATCCGAGAGCTAAACATTTTCACAACAGTAACGTAGTAGACCCTTCCTGTAAAAATACTTCTGGCAGCTCTAACGATCTGAAACTTTAGCAGTTCCTGTTTCCTTTTTGAAACTAATTGTAGAATTAATGCTTCAGAGCGGCGCGGTTTGCGAGGCGGTCGAGTATCTGCAGGGCTCTCGGGCAGCCATTCATGGGGGCAAACAGTTGGTGCCTTCACACGAGTGAATTGGGACACGGGAGCAGGGAGATGGGGATGATCTGCTCAGAAATGAACCCGGCACGTCCTCCTGATTCCTAGAATTTCCTAGAAATTCCTGCAGGAATAGGGGAGGCGAGAGGAGCCGCGTTTAACGCGGAGAAAACAAAATGTGCRCGGGTGCAACTTCGATAATTGAATGCAAATAAAGTGAAAAGCAAATCCTGAACCTGGAGGGAGGCAGAAGGATGTCATGCACGCAAAGGAGGGATCACTGATGCTAAACACAACAGACAAGGTGATTATGTACCACAGTGTTGACTCTGCCCGTTCATTATTGCTATTTAGTTGAGTTATTTAAGCGAGTACCTGGAGGTTAAGTAAGCACAGCAGCAGGAAGGGGAGAGGAGGAGAGAGGGCAGGGGAAAAAGAGAAAGTAAATTTTGTGTTCTGGTTTRTAATTTCTAGCGCTTCCTTGGCTCYGYTGGCAACAAGCTAACCCATCCTGGGTAAATTTATTTTAATGTTTGGAAGTAGAAGAAGAATGAGCCAAGTCCAGCAGCCCTCTCCTCCCGTGTCACGCTGTGATTGTCTGGAGGTGATGGGGGGCTGGAGGTGTTGGTCCCCACTAAAGGCCTCAGGGGTAGATCTGCTCTTTCCCCTACTGCTTTGCATTTTAAGAGGAGATTGTTTTTTAACTGTTGATGAAGTCCAAAAAGTGCCATGAACTTCCTCCTCGCCCGGCCTGTCCCACTGCCGGGTGGAATCTGATCTGGGCTTTTCTGGAGCCTTTGCGATGTCCCCGCTGACTGACCCCACCAGGTGTCAGCCAGTWACTTCAGTTCTCCAGCTTTGCCCGGGAGAAGCTTCTCCCCATCTTCTCTTTCAATGCTGGGAATGAGGCTTTTCTGAATTTGTCCCACATGTAATGCCATTTTCCAAGGCTTCTTGCAAACCATCTCTATCTCTCTTGGGCACTGATGTGGAAGTAGCTCAAGGTGGGGGTCCCAGCTGGGGTTGGGGGTGCTGGTRTCTGTTTTGGGGACACTTTCTGTGCATCTCCTTTATCCCAGTGCTGGGTTCACAGCTCTTGTGCCTCACTGCTGGAAATGGGGGGCAGAAATCAGGGGAGACTTGGCCCATTTGTGGCAATTAGTGGCAGCCTTTGTTTCATCAGCAATAAAACCGCAGCCCACGGGCTCTGAGGTTTTAGGGGAAGGCTACTAAAATACCAAAGTTAAAGAATTATAACTAGCAAAGACAATATAGCCCCATTCTTGGTATTTATTTATGGAACTATGAAGTAATTTTATAATGCATAATATTAATATAACATATTGCTATTTAAATTGTGCAAGGGTCAACTTATGTTTCTTCAGATTTATGTGTCTTGAGATTTGTGCTCCTTCTGGAGGTACAACACCTCTTTTTCTTGGTGGGTTACATTTGTAAGGACTGTAAAGAAGTTCATATGATCCTACTTTACCCTCTGTTAAGATAGCTTATTTTCCTGTCAGTATTTTCCACATTTTCATTTCAAATTGATCTCATTCCTATAATTTATTTCATCCATATTTCAGTCTGTATTTTATTGTTGGCTTTAGGGAGACCTATCTCAGATGTCATTTTACCTGCTGAATTTTTTTCCCCCATTTCTTCCTTTAAAGCCTGTATTTTAGAGGCTCAAAAGGTCACACCGAACTCAGGGGTGATGCTTGGATGCAGGAATGGTCATCCCTCCAAGAGTGGGGCTCCGATCCCAACTCTGGAGTGGCACCCTACAAGGTTTAGAAACCTCAGTGCCAGCAAAAGATGCTGTTGCAAAGGAAACTTATTTTCCTGCTTATTTTGCTGCTGGGGGGGCTGTGCCTTGGMGCAGGGGTGGCTGGAAAACATGACTCTGTGGGGAAGAGATGGAAACCCTGTCCCGCAGGGCTGTGAACGCTAACCCAGCCCGTGTGTAATGCCGATCCCTCGCCGCTGGTGCTGCTGGTGGGAGCAGATGTAGGCTCCTCTTGAAATGTGAACTGCGCTGCCTTTCCACGGTTTTAGCTTAAAGGATTCTCCCCGTTCTGTCTCAGAGTCAAATTTCTCAAGTCGGTTGATCCTCTGTTTGTTTTGGTCTCCTCTGCTCTGGTAGGGCCTTCTCCTCACTTATTTATATCCCCGTAACTCCGGAGGTGCTCTCTGGAAAGCGCTGGATCAGGAGGTTCAAGGGAAGAATCAGGCCCAGATGCTTTCTCAGGAGCTACCAGGAAAACGCCTGGGCTGTGCAGCTTTTGTAATTAAAAATGCATGAGCTCTCTCTTCTCTGTATTTTTTTTTTAATGAATAGGACCCAAAGTATACCAAGCCTTGCTGTTTTTTTCTTTTTCTTTTTTTTCTCCCTTCCTTTTAATGCTATTAGGTTTATATTTTATTCTGAATTGAAAAGAAAATTGTGGTTGTCTTGACTACTGATAAAACCCATCCTACACACCGCTGGAGAGATGTGCAACAGAGAGAAGGGAATTTAGCTGTACTCAGCTTGTGTTGTTTTTCAGCTGCAAGCCTTGGAGCAGGTTTGGTGGAGATGCCGTGGTTTCCTTAGCCTGAGCTGCAGTTTGCAACTCGCTGGGCCTTTGCTTACTGTGTTGTGTTTTTATTTTCTCCAAAAACTTTATGCACAACTAAAAAGATGTTTTATTTCTAGGCAATAGTATATGAAGGCCAAGACAAGAACCCAGAAATGTGCCGAGTCCTGCTCACGCATGAAATAATGTGCAGGTAAGAAATACCCCTCTTCCAGTTAATTAGTGATGAGAAGATGAATCTGTCTCCCAAAATCTAGGTTGAACCTACAGCTATTTTCGGACTTAAATTTATCTTTCTTGCATTAAACAATCCCAAAATAACACAGTTCAGTGTGTGTAATTAGCAGCAAGGTCTCAGTCGTCACACTAGTTTTCAATTATTTATAAAGAGTTATTCTTAACAGAAYGCTGCTGGTTTTCATTTAGACACTRTAGCCCACAAAAGGTCTCCTCACCGAAATTAACAGTCTATTATAGTCTTGTAGCAATAAACGTCTCTGTCCCCAATTCCCAACAAAAACTCCTCRGCAAAATGACAAAATAGTAGGTTTTGGTTTTTTTTTTTTCTGGATGTGCATTAAGGAGTGAGGTCAGGGGGCTGTTTTGTCCTGGTTGCTGCTCAAGTGAGGTCCCYGCTCGGCCGGGGTGAAGCAGCTGATGAAAAAGAATGTCATCTTCTTGATTTTCTTTAAACTTCCCCATTGGGCTCTGCCCTGTGCTCTCTTGCTCTGCCTGGGGTTGGTGACTTTAATTCAGTCAAATATCTTSTCCCCCAAACTTCTGCAGCTGCTTCCTTCTCTCTTCTGGCTGGTTGAAATAGGTGAAGCCTCTTCTACTTCCTTTTTACCACAGACCCCTTTGACACCTCAGAGAGCTTGACCTCTCWGTCTCATTAAAGTCAGTGGGTGTTTTTTGCATGTCTGAAAAAATCATTTGTTACATGTTATTCGATGGCAGAAAATAATTATGCCTGGTGGAAGACGAAGCGTTCTTGCATAAGCTCATTGTTACAATCAGTTGTTTTAAGACTGTAAAAATGCCATTGCATGCGTTGTAACTTTTACAAAACACATTTACTAAAAAGGAGTAACTTGAGGGTAAAAACTAGTGCCCACTTCTAAGAGAATAAACTTGGATGAGGGTTTCGTGGCAGGGGAGAGTTTTTGACAAAATACTCAGATGGAAACTTCTCTGTTGGTTGATTTTTCTATTTTCAATTTTTTTTTTTCTCATTCTTGGGATCTGCATGTTTTGTCCTCCACTGACAGCTCCTCCTGATAAAACTCTTCTGGGGGGTAGTACCCCGTGATGAAGGCAGAGAAGGAGCTGCTGTCCTTGTTCTGCCATCCTGGGTCAAACCCTGCACCGTCCCCCGCTCCCAAAATTCTTCCTTGCAGCAAGATTTTGGGGGGTTTTAGTTTTCATGTCATATTTTTTTAGGCTGCTTCCTTCAGTGGGTTTGGCTTCTTCCAGGAAACCAAAGACAACCCTTTGCAGCTCCAGAACAATCAGCAGCTGGGKGTCTCCAAGAGGTGCTGKTTTTGGGAGCYTCGTWGCTTTGCTGAGGACTCCAGGCCACTTCTGCCTTCCCAAATGGAAACCCAGTCATGCTGACAACTTGTAATTGCCCTAAAATTCATTGGCCCAATTAGCATGACTTTCACGCTGGGTACCTAGCTAGGAACAATTCGTGGAAATATTAAAGGAGGCCCCTGACCTGATAAGACTCAAGTGCCTTTTACTTTTCTCCTGTAACAGRCCAGTAAAACAGTGGCACTGGACACATGAGTAAAATTAAGCACATGTTCAAGTGCCTGCAGTGTCAGGGTTTGAATCTGCCATTAGTCCTGGGTGATGTGCCCTCCTGATCCTTAACCAGCAAGGTTTGGTGTTGGAATTACTCACTGAGCCAGAATCAGCTACTTTAAAGCATTAATTTTCTTACAAATRCTTCAGAAACATAAAGTGTGAGAAGTAGATTAAAACTTTATATAGTGGGCTGAGTTTTAACCAGAAGACTGAGTGCCCACATCACAGATTTACAGCCGTTCAATATACCTTGACTGAGACAAAATTATTTCTSTTCTGGGAATGTGGAAAGATGTGCAGTTATTCCCTTTATTAAAGCACTTTGCACTTTCTTTGTTCTTAAATTCACTGGCTCAGAAGCTTTAGTCTTATCCTCCTATTTATTTACTCTTAGTCCTTGCTTTGTGTTTCATGGCTGTAAGGTGGAGGGGTAGAAAAACCCCAAACTGACTGTAGTAGGCAAATCTTGTGCTCCTGACAGGGTGGGGGAGACATATTCAAATTTCTTACAGCTCATATTAGATATTCCCCATTTCCTTTGCTGCCCATACATGTGGGAGAGGGTGCTGTTTGTTTACCAGGCCGCTTGACCCTATTGCACAAATCTGTCATCTATTGTGCTGCTAACACGCTTTTAAATTGCAAATCTGATGCTCTTTAGGGGTCTAGAAGGGGGAAAAATTCTCTCTCCACACCATTCTGTTTCTCTTGATTTCTTGCCTGTTGTAAGTGGAAGTTGGGATGTGCTGAATTTGCACCAGGGGTGCAAATGCAGCCTCAATTATAAGCATAAAATTAGAGTCTGTTCCCCATTAATCAGCCCAGCTAATTGCTATGCACTACCATTAGCCATATGGTGTGAAAGACAGCTTGCTCTCCCTAAGATGAAATTTCTTCATTTCAGACATGAAATAGTGAGGGCTCTGTATTTTAAAATAGCTTGTTTTAGATATTTAATTTCTAAACAACTTTCAGCAGTGCTTTCTATCAAGGCTAACTGCACAATAAAACTTTGCATTTATGTGACAAAGCTGGGTATTTATAGTGTACTACAGCTACGGCACGGAGGAGACAAAGAATTCAAATGTATAAGAGAGTCCTGGCTGTGGTAGGAGAGCGAAGCTGAGGTTTGCTTCAGGTAGCTGTTTATTTCAAAGGATTTCATTGYGTTTTTGTCAGATCTAAAAATCTACACTGTTGGTGAAAATGTTAATAGCTGGGGAGAATTCACAACCTCAGTGGAATTTATTAGTATTGTAGGCAGCRTGGGGAGGGACATCCATAGTTAATATTGCCTCAACAATTTCCATTATGAAACCTTCAGTGGCTTACAGCTTTGCCAAACTTAAACTGTTCTGGCTGAAATATCCTTTGCAGGGTGTCAGCCTCGGGCTGACTTTCTTTGGAAAGTTTCAGCTAAAAYGGTTCAGTGATTTCTCAGAATGAGGTTGGAGTAAAATATGGGTTTTGTCTGTGTTAAATAAGATCTCACAGCTGTTTTGGCGAGGGGCTCCCGCATCTCCACGCTCCAGGGTGAGGAGTGGGTTTGGCATCGCTGGTGGGAGCGATGGCACCTTGTGCAGGATCTCCTTCAAGGCCTCGCTGGCCAGCGATGGTGGGGAAGGCGTCTCGGCCTGGCCACGAGCCACAGGCCCCTAATTTCTCATTGTTCATTGTCCCCAGGACACACAGAGCAGGGATACTCTYGTTGGGGGACTCTCCAGCCACTGGGGTGGGGATGGCACGGGAGGGTTTGGGGTGAYGGACATTGGGGTGAGGAGRCCTCGTCCTGCAGGCCCRRGYRGCGCGGATYGAGATCCTCCCYRTGGATGGGAAGAGGAGGGAGACAGGGAGCAAAAAGGCAGGAGAGCAGAAGGTCCCTGAAGGGTTGGGATGAGGAGAAACGCAGCAATAAAAGCTGGGGGTGGTGGTAGCCCGGGCAGGAGCAGAATGGGGATGGTGAGGGGTTCGGGAATGAGCCACGAGGATGGCAACAGCAGCGGGGTGTTCGAGGAACTGCAGATGATGGAAGCCTTCATTACTATCAAGGTTTACTTGTTTTAAAAACAAGCAAACCCTGCCCAAAACTCAATTTTTGTAGGCTTTTCCTACATTGGCATTGTSTCTGAGCTGTGTTTCCTGGCCCCGCTTAGGGAGAGCAGCAAAGACAAGTCCTCGTCCTCCTGGCTGCATTCCCTGCTCTCGCACAGAGCCTTGCTGGGAGATGCAGGGTGTTTCTGAGTGGTTTGGAGAAGCTCCTGGGAATTTTAAAATTCTTTCAGGGAAAGGAGAAAGGGTGCTGAATATTTAGGAACTTATTTCCAAGTGCTAAGTAGGYACTAAAAGCCAAAGCTTTTGAGGGAAATTGAATTAAAAGCACTTTTAACCAGGTCTGAAAATCAAGAKCTGCATGATGTTTTAATTCTCTGCATAGAAAAACTAGAATGAGGAGGCCTTGAATCTTGCTTTGAGGGGGGGGGAGGAAATCACAAAAGACAAATTAAATTGTAAAATATAATTCTCTAGATCATGAAAGAACATTCAGCRTCTCCTTTCACACCAGAAAGCCACCAGATGGTGGGATGTGCCAGCCTTGCAGCCCCTCCACATCACCTCAAATTGTGGCCAAGGACTGAGGTCTCCTGCTATCACTTGGGACTATTGGGGTGCACTTTTGGAAAGCTCTACCCAATTAAGGTGTCACCTGAAGAACAATGAACAGTTTCCCCTGCTCTTAAAGTCAGGTTGTCCACACTGGTCAGTGCCTGACCCCATCCCACTKGTGGCAGGAGGTGAGACTGAAGTGTCCCTGTCCCCAAACTCCTGTGGACACCTCTCCCTTTGGGTTAATGCCCCAGGGAGGTGCCAACCTCTCACCCTGGTGGTGCAGGAGTGGTGGTATCTGCCCATCTCGTGCTGGGAGCCTGGGAACCTTTGCTTGCCTGAGTAAGTGTGGCAATTTTTGTCCCTCCAGTCTGCTGGGAGAATGTCAGGACTAGYCCTGATTCGCTTCAGTCACAAGAACTGCATTGTCTTAACTTGTGCCAACTCTGTTTCTAATTACATTTTAATCATTTAAAAATGATTAGCAGTTTTTATTGCCTTGTTTGTGGGTAAGTTTTCTCACCCCACACATTCTAGCTGCACTCCAATGACAAGTCCTTTTATAGGCAAAAAAGCCCCTGAATGTCCCCATGACTATTTACCTACAGCATATTTTATTCCTTCCTAAATTTTAATACTTTCAGGGTGCCAAGGCTCTGGCATTTTCTGGTGGATCAATTGTGGTATTGTGCTGTAAAATTAAGCAGTTTTTTTTGGCAATCCCAAACAATGTAACTTCCACCGAAATGAAGATACCGCACATGTGTTAACTGTGAAAAGTTTCAGCCCTGAATAGTTGCCTTGAAGCTTTTTGCGGTGAAAAGAATTATGTATTTTCCTCTCTTTGAAAACAAAATTATTATTTTTTTTTAAASCCGTGTTTAAACAGGCTGTTTTTGTAAAAGGCCCCTTTTTTGTTATCTTTAGTGTGGTTAGTTGCTTTATTGCTAATCTTGGTGGGTAACTGTATATTATTCACTCTATTGTTCAGCAACACAAGGGAACCTTTGTCATACTCCCAACAGGGCTATTTATATAGCGTGGAACTTCTGAGGGCTTCTTCCTGCCCTGATGTTCTTCCACCTTCTGGGGGAAGGAAAATAGTTCATCTGAGAGGGACAGTGGGCAGTGGTGGCTCCTGACYGCTGCTGAAATACGGGCGAGATGCAGGTCCCCGGGATGCCATTGGGAATGAGCTTGGCGGTTTCCAAAGATTTGGTTGTGTGTGGTTGAAGCTGGCCAGAAAATTRTTGAACAGGGAGATGTGCTCAGGTCAGGCCGGGGAGAGCTGCTGGGGTGGTCCTCACTGCCTGACACTTGGTGTCACCATGGGATGGAGTCCCTGCAGCCCTGAAGCAGGTCCTTGGGGATCAAGAAAGACTTGGGAAAGTTGGGAGCTTCTTGATTTTGCAGTGTATTTTTTTTTTTTTGTTCTGTATTTTTTTTTTATTATCCCTTGAAGACTTGGCTTCAGTGAGGAATTTTCTGTTAAGAGACATCAATAAACAGGAGCTTTCATTGCAAGATGGGGGTTCCCTCTCTGGGTTGAGTGGGTGGGTGAAAGCTAAAGGCTTTGCTGACCTTTGTAGCTGTGATTTGATCTCTGGTGGGAAGAGCAGGGCAGCTCCCCACCACAGCTCCAGAGGCACCAGGAGGAATTCCCACCTTGAGCAGGAACGTGCACCTCTCCTATGAACTCACCTGCAATATATTTACGCCCTCCTTACAGAAAACAGCCCCTGACAAGGAATCATCACAAACAACAATTTAAGTTCTCTTAAGAAACAATGAGCCACCTTAGTTCAAAAGAATCCCAGCCTCGAGGTCAGCCATGGAGCAGTGCTTTGGGWGATGGAGCTTATATTTCACAAGCCTGCTTTGTATCTGACCTGGTGCAGGGCACCAGCCGCCAGAGCAGAGCTCTCCATGGCATTAGTGATCATTAACATGCTCGGAAAACTTGGGGAAACAGGCGCGCTCGAGCATAAAAAGCTGTTCCTGCTGCTGCTGCTTGCATTTTAGCTCCCCCATTAACACCAGCGTTTCTTAGAGGGAGAATAATTGTGCTTTCGGAGTTTGGGGGAGGCTTGCCAGTAGCTGGGAATTGCGTGGAAGCAGCAATATCTTGTACATGTGTAACACAAGCGTTAAGCAAATGTAAAAACCAGGCTCAGCAGGGAAAAATCTGCCTTATTTTGTGTGCCAGCGTCTGCGGGACAACTGTTAAACCCCTCGGAAAAGAGCCTACGAATAGGCAGCTCTCCCTGTTTCGGGCAATCCTTGAGTTATTATTTGTGAAAGGGGCAAAACCCCTCTCTTTTTATATTTTCCATTGCTAACCAGCTGTGCAAGAAGTTAAACATCGTAATTAACCCATATGTGACCCAGTACATTTGACTGATTTGCAGGCAGGGCCGGCAGGGTAACTCGAGCCGGCAATTTGAACCCACCATGTTCGTAATGATGATTTTACAGTGTAATGGTYGCACTAAATCCTTTCGCTTTTGCTCTCTAGCCGCTGTTGTGACAAGAAAAGCTGTGGCAACAGAAATGAGACTCCATCAGATCCAGTGATAATTGACAGGTAAGGACTGCTATTGTTTCCTTCCATTTTTTTTTTCCTTCCTCCCTCTCCTCATTATAATGAAACACCTGCCCTGTGTTGCTAATGGGGAAGAATTAGGAGGATATACGGATGAAATTTTGCTTTTTTTTTTGATGCAGAATTAGTTGTGCTTTGCAGTTGTGATTGCCTTGGAAGGGCCATATGTGGGATAAAGTAGGGATGCTGGAGCGCCCTGCTCTGTGGAGAGCTCCAGATCTTGTAACTGATTCATGTGCATAAAGAGGAGATTTTTCTTTCTGACTTTCTGTGACTCAATTCACATGCTATGCCAGGGAAGCTTCAGGAATAAAATAATAATAGTTTGTGATTTATGAAATGTGGTYGGGTGCTTATAAATATTTAACTTTTATTTGAAAAATGTTTGAATCATTATCACTTAGCTACTGTAGTTCTGTTGGATGCAATCCATCTACATTTTAAGGCTTTTATTTATGCATAAAAACAGTTAAGAAAAYAGATCTGCAACGTAAGGTTTTTTTCCTCCTCTTATTTTCTTTGGTTGGAATACAATTTTGACTGTATTGTCAGTTGATTAATTCATTTTTGCCTGTCATAATTATTGTGTTTTTAAACAGATCCATATTGCTAATCTGAGTCAATCATTTGTAGCACAATGCATCTATTCCAGTTGTTCTGAGCCATGTGTAGTTTCTGTTGCTTGCAAATCATGCAAGATGGTAGCCAAAAAGCCATTTTTGCATTTTAATTGTCCAAATGCGTTGTCCAAAGCCACGTGTGGTAGCCAGGGTATTGTGTAGGGTCACTCTAGAGGAGTTAAATGACTGTGAAGCACCAAAAGCATCTGTCAGAGCTGGGGAGAGCAACACCCTTGCACTGATAGAGGGACCCCARAGGGAGCCACCCAAACACACAGGGGTGAGGGCACAGAGCATGTGCCTCTCCTTGTATTCCTGTCTGAGTTATGTTTGCTGCATAAACTTTGAATTATCTTCCATGCCAGAGCATCCATTTTAAGAAAGGAGGCGAGGAGGGTTTGATGTGTTGGGGGCCCCACGTGGAGAGCAGTCCAGAGCCTTGTGCTCATCCCAGCTCCCTGTTCTTGGATGGATTGGGTAGGAAAGTGCAGATATTGGATGCTTTATAGCAGATGTTTTGATTAGCTGTAATAAGTGATCCTGAGAATGTTTAACTCTCAGAAGATATCTCTATCTATTTTAACTAGGCATATTTTCATCTTCTCTGAGCATCAGGTAGCACCAGAGAAAGTGTGTGGGGGGGAAAACCCCACAGTGAAACCTGTACAGAGCTGTGTTTTATAAGCATGCTGCAGAGCTGAACACTATAAACATGGTGTTAGAGTGGCATTTTGAGTGACATGAAAGCTACAAAATTCACATGAATTTTTCATTGTACTGGAAAGTGAGATGTTAAGATGCTAATGGCAGGTTTACAGAAATATTTTGTTTAACTATCTAGTATGCAAAACTGCCAGTTGCAAATCATTTTCAATTTTGAAAGCCAGAGATGCTGTCTGTTACATGCTTCCTGCAAAATGARGAAAATAGGTACAGGAAAAAAACATCTTTAGCTTCCTAGCAGTGATCCATTCCTCAGTATTCACACGAATTGATGCAATAATTCCMAATTTTGAAGTTTCTTCTTAAAATGCAAGCTAAACACAATTCAAAGCTGATAACACAAACCCTGCCTTACCACCCGCACTGRATCACACTTGGCTTGTGAATGGGTTAAGCTTTTAAGTTCTTCGCTTGGTTTTAAATTGTGACTTTGATACAGAAGGTTGATATGACTGTGGTTTGAATAACACTTGATTTTGACCTGTTCCTGTGGGTTGCAATGGTATAAGAAATTTGACTCAGCAGTACTGTAATTAGCCCTCCCCGTGTTTTTGAAACAGGATTGTGTTACCTGGATTGCATTAGTGTGGCTTCTATTGTTGCCGCTTCGCATCTGTCCCAGTAGGGTACTTAAAACCTTTTCTTGGCCRGGGCTAGTTCAAACAATTTAGGCCAAGCAAGTATGTGCTTTTATACAGTTAGTGGCTTTAGTGATGTTTCTTGTGACATTTATCCTATTCATTTTTCTTGTCCCCTTTGGTTTGGAAAGGATGAAGTGATTTATCCGGAGCCTTTTTACCTTAAAACGAGTCCTTTAAAATTGTTCTCTGATGAAAATGCCTGCACAAGTCAGGCCATGTGTTTGGTTGTACTCCATTGTCACTTCTCCATGCACACAGTTTTTAACTGTTATGTCAATTGATATGCAAAGCCATATTTAGTTATTTTTATTTGYGTTGAGCTTAGAGAATTCATTTACCATTTGGGCTAAAGCACTCCCACATGCCTGACGCTCTGATCAAGTCTTTTCCTATGGATTTAATATAACTCTTGCATCAAATCCTGTGAATCCACAGACTCTGACCTAACATAGAGTTTAACATAGAATCTATCCATGGGATTTTTGACATATGTACTTACATGGAAATGCTATCCTCCTCTGACAAGCTGGAATATTATTTTTGATTGATAAATTCTCTTTGATGAGGCTGGAGAGACTCAGGATAGAGCAGGCTCAGATTTGTGGTGGTTTGGTGAACTTGGAAAAGAGGCGCTTTGGCAGCTTCAGAGTTACATRTGCTGTATTCTTCTTCAAACCCTGGTTATATGTGAAATCAAACTCTTTATTTTTATTAAATGAAAATGTGGGATTTAAAAAAGGTCTGTAGCTATTTTTGAAACAGTCTCTGACTTTATCCTTTATCAAATTGTTTTATACTTTGTTCTAGTACAGTATCAGCAAATACAGCAGTGAAAGGGAAAGAAATTTATACTCACATAAAATAGTGATCTAAATTTGCTCTGGAGAACAAAATCAATCTATTATGCTTACAGAGCAGTTATCCCAAGGAAATTTCTTGGAAACCTGTGTGTGTCTGTATCATCTTCTTAGCATAGCCTGTATATTTTATCAATAATCCAGTTACATGTGGTGAGATGAAGATCTGATGAACAGGAACTCATTTTAAAAGGGGTATTATTGTCACAATACAAATGCACAATTTCTCCTACGAGTGCAGTGGCAGAGCTGTATTGTAATCACACTTAAAGAAAACACAGAGCACTTCCTGTTATTAAATTAAATTCTAGATTGATTTAACTTTCAAATTGTAACTCATATTTGAATTTAAAAGGTTCGCAATAAAATTCCTGTGAAGAAATTGAATAAATTGTAGTTTTATTACCACTCTGGATATCCTGGTGTCCTAACCTTTTTCCTTACAGTTATCTTAGTTCAATAAATAAAACCTCATTAGACTATTCCCATTTCAACGAGTTTATTAAATTTTACAGGAGTAATTAGCATAAGCTGTGCTAATTTTTCTGGAAGACTAATGAGAGAGCTTCCTAATTAGGTTTGCTTTGTAAGAATCAGAAAAGATGATAATGACAAAAGTCACATAGGGGAGAAAGTGGGGCTTTATGTTATTCCTTGGTTCAGGAAAAAGGCTCCTCTCTTGGCACTACGTTCCAAACTTTTAAACTCAATTTCCCATTGTCAGGACCGATATTTAATGGTGTTACCAATGCCTCTGGGGTTTCTTTACCTTTTATGGCAGCATCCAGTAAACAGGAGTCCTATTGACTGATAAAATAGGAATAACCACTGCAATCCCAAATATAGTGGCAGAAAATATATATACCATATACATCATGTATATCCTGCCTGTGACATTGCATGGAAAAAGGGCTGRAAACAAGCAGATGCCTTTTGGATTGATAATCTTTAGCTGAGGAATAAACCAAGAGGTTTCATGCTGGAGGCCCCCTGGGTGGGTTTGTGTGACCTTTGGGGGCAGAACACCATGGGGATGGTCAGGGCTTCTTCTGGCCCTGCTCTGGTAACTCACTGAGGTTCTTCAGGTGGCGTTTTGGATGCAATTTGGGAGCAATGAGGCTCCCTCTGGCAATGAAGAGGTTTGTGGCTTTGCAGTGCCATCACTTGTCCATGGAGCAGGGGTGGGGCCCCATGGATTGGAGGCTGTAATATTTTCTGTGCCTTGTTATCAGATGACATCAAAGTACATTTTAATGCATGACCTGCTATCAATGTCTGAAAGGTCTCTGTGCTTCTGATATGTGCAGGTTGCTCATCTGGGCTCTCTGTACCCTGTSCCAGCACACCCAGCCAACTTACTACAGATGGGTTTGAGATCTTTCAGCCTTTAGCTTGAAAAGTTTTATGTTTGTGGGTAGGATTTCACTGTGCAATGACATGGAAAGTCATTACCTCTGTTTTAACACTTTACAAGTCATCACRTAGTGGATTGTATTTTACAGGCCTGATAATATTTTCATCCTAAATACCAGGCAGGTGGAAAAGTGTCTGTATCACACTCCCTGCATCCTCCCCACAAACACACTGCTTAGATAGATGTGGCAAATAATGTGTTTTGCAGTAGCTTTGCATGTCTGGGGGGATGGGGATGGGGATCCAGGCAGAGCCTGCCCTCCAGGAGAGATTCTGTTGAGGAGCTGAGGTGGTTTATTTGCTCGGGAGGAGCTGCTGAGTGATGCTTTGCTGCAGGGGATGGGGTCAGTGCTGCAGATGATCCCCACCAGACCACAGGAACGTGGGTTTGTCACAGCACCGGTGTCACAGCGAYGTGGCAGGAGATGCCAGGTGCTCTGGCAGTGACTCCTTTGCAGGAGTCCCAGTTCCTGGCCTGTCCTGGTCAGATCTTGTCCCCCTGGCCATACCAGTGCCAGAACCTGGCTGTGTGGAGTCAGAGGAAGCTGTGTCTGCTGGTGCCCTGCTCTCCCCTTGCTCACACCAGGGATGGGGCTGCARCAGCCTGGGGGTGCCATCACTGCTGCATCCTTGGCTGGGTTTTCCACACAGAAGGAACAGGAGGGCAGGCATGGAACTCTCTGATAGACCACAAGATCTGGGTGCAAAATGTCCCTGGGCCTGAATATTGGT